TCTGTGTTGAGTTCAGGTTCCTGTCTGTTGTAGTCAGTGCTGCGTTCAGGTTCTGTCTGTCTGTTGTCTGTTGTAGTCAGTGCTGCGTTCAGGTTCCTGTCTGTTGTAGTCAGTGCTGCGTTCAGGTTCCTGTCTGTTGTAGTCAGTGCTGCGTTCAGTTCCTGTCTGTTGTAGTCAGTGCTGCGTTCAGGTTCCTGTCTGTTGTAGTCAGTGCTGCATTCAGGTTCCTGTCTGTTGTAGTCAGTGCTGCATTCAGTGTTAGTCTGGATGCACTGGCACCTTCTCAATGGCAGACAGGTGTTCATTTTCATAATGGATCTTTTCTTCGGTGTGCGCCTCTCCAAAGATACCACCCACTGCTGCACTGGCATCTTCAATAAGCCATCAGTGTCTCTCCTTGCTCCTCTGTCACAGGCAAACATTTAGTGTTCAGTGTGCTCAGTGTTGGTTGTTGTAGCGGGCTATGTCAAATGACACTTCAGTTCTTATTGCATTGTGGAATTGTATTGCAGTTTTGCCCCAGTAATGTGTGACATCAAAGACAATCACATTGCAGTATTTACTAATGAGATCTAAATATTGACCATGTCACCAGTCACCATGGGATCTCGTGTATAAAAAACTGCTAACCCTGTAATTTGGACTTCTACAAACACGTTCTTCAAATGCACGGGAGAAATGAAATGTTATAATGCACACTCACCAGAACATCTTGATTCAAGAAATAACATTGGACATGAAATTGTAAGAACTGTTTGTAATCTTGTTTAAGTGTAATGACTTGGGACACCACACCTCATACTTACACAACAACTACAGTGCACAGTATAAGTTTCATTGTATCTCATCAGTTTATGCAGTAGCATTAAGTCTCGAGCTAGGCCTCTGGTAAAGGACCTAAGCTGGACAGTTTTATATATATATATACTACAGAAAATAATCATAGTCATATTTGGATAATCACAAGACTCTATAAAACATTTTTTAATAACAAAGACAGAGGCATTAAATCAAAATGGCACACTTCTGTTTAGATGTCTGTAGTCACCATATTTTGACCTTGTTTTGATAAAAAAAAAATGTTTTAAGCATCTAAATTTACAAATGATCATTTGACTAGTTGACTAATCAATAATAATAATAATAATAATAATAATAATAATAATAATAATAATAATAATAATAATAAAAGAAATGTCTGGCAACTGTTAAAATAATCACTAGTGGCAGCCCCAGTTTACATATACACTTTTGATTTTGATTGTGATCCTGATGGAAAAAAAAAAAAAATCCATCTGTTTTTTTTTTTTTTTGGTTTTTCTTAGCACATGTTGGCCGGTGGCTGATTTGAACTGAAGTCAGAGCAGTGACTACTAGTCTTTCAAAAAAGGGAACCACTTAACATTTTCAATTTTTTTATAATGCTATTTAAGAACTAGAGTCAGACTAGCAACTCAGCAGTCACTATAGCCTCTAATGCCCCAGGTTTTCACTTCTGATTGTGTGAGTGTGTGTTTCCTGCAAACTGTAAACTGAAAATGAGCTCAGTGAAATGAGAAATTAGCTCAGTGCCATGCTTTGAAATTGGTGACACCAAATTAATAATAAAATATAATAGTTATTGTTGCAGTATTAATTAATGGGGCTAAAAAAATTTTTTTTATCATTTATTTATTAATTTATTTTATCTCATTCATAGAACATTTCCCCAATTGATATGTGAACTGCATGCAATCTTTGCGCTTTTATTTATTTATTTTTCCCAACAATTTTATTTTTAGGCAAAACAAACTCCAGCCCTCTCCAGAGCTGCCCTCCACCTTTCTCAGTCTCCATTGTATTGCACTCCATATCTCACCATTTGTTGAACATATCAGCATGAAATCATCTATAGGGATGGTGACAATCTTCTCTCCTTGTTAGATTGGTGTTGATAAAATCAAATGTAAATGTTGTGTGTCTTGCCGTTGGTTTGATTGCACAATGGGTATGATGATCAGGCCATCTTTACTCTGTTTCTTTCTATCTTTGTATTTGGCTGGTGGTGCTGGCAAAGCCACATTTATAGATCTGGAATAAACCTGAGGATTGAAAATAACAGAGTGACATAGGCAAAAGTAAGAGAGGGGGCATGATTGGCTGCTCACATGTCATGCACCCACTCAGTGCAGTAAAGGCAGTATTATGTTAATATTATAATACATTTGAAGGTGGGGAATGATGACAATACGGAGAAGGAGCCCAGACCTAACCAGGTGTGAGTCCTGCTGAAATCTCCAAACTTTAAGATCACTGAAAACACCACAGTCACTAATTTATACTACATGAGCATTTGCAGTGAATGAGGCATGTCTAACATGACCTTGGGGCCTCAGAAAACAAAGGGGCCCGTGCAGGATCACATGAGAAGATTCTGCCGTTTTTCCTCCTAATGTTTTGAATTGTCTGTTATTATACTGAATAGAAAATATGATTTTATTCGTGATTTTGGAGATACAAACCACTGGCTCGAGTCTGTGCACTGTGTGTGTGTGTGTGTGTGTGTGTGTGTGTGTGTGTGTGTGTGTGTGCATGTGCGTGGGTGTGTGTGTGTGTGCGCGTGTGCGTGGGTGTGTGTGTGTGTGTGTGTGCATGGGTGTGTGTGTGTGTGTGTGTGTGTGCGCGTGTGTGTGTGTGCATGGGTGTGTGTGTGTGTGTGTGTGTGTGTGTGTGTGTGTGCATGGGTGTGTGTGTGTGTGTGTGTGTGTGTGTGCGTGTGTGTGTGTGTGTGTGTGTGTGTGCGTGTGTGTGCGTGTGTGTGTGTGAGTGCGCGTGTGCGTGTGTGTGTGTGTGTGTGTGTTGTAACCTCTGACTGAACGGGATGTTTTCAGTGAGATGTTTATAGTAACTCTTAATAAAATATGATGATTTGATCTATGTCAGTATGTGTGCACAAAACTGTGCCCCTGCAGCATGTGCACAAAATAGATGATCTAAAGCTAATGTTGTAAAGCATTATTATAAGGTTATTATAAGATAAGATTGAAAATGCTCCTCAAATCCTCAAACTAAACAATAAAAAGGGCAAAGATAATCTGCAACACACATATCTGTGAATGTTCTGCCCCAGCCGGTATGACCAAACAGTCTTTTTGTCTTGAGCATGTTTTCTTGGTTTTGTGGCGTTTAGACTCACTTGCTGTACTGAGGCCGCCATTTTGTGTCAGATGGAGCTGACTCAACTTCAGATCTTTGTACAAATGTCTGAACACGATTCAAACTGGACGCTAACAGCCCAGTGAGTGTGCTTGTCTTTTAAGGATGTGACAGTATGTGTAAAGAATGGAACAAGTGTAAGTCAAGACACGCTCAGATCTGCGGCCAGAGTGTGTAGCAAGGTGAACACACACACTCACAAACACAATGGATTTTAAATGATTTGGAATCTAACTTTTTTTTTTTTTCATATTTATTTACCTTGTATGACTTTGATTAAGATTAATGTTTGTAATTCTATTGCAAACTGAAAAAACAAAAACAAAAAACAACAACACACACACACACACACACAAAGATAAAACTGTGAGGATTCATAAAAGACTTAAAGACAAAACTGAAACATGTTTGTTTCAATACATTTGAACTATTTGTTACTCCCGGATGTTTTCTGTATTCAGGTATTTCTGTTTCTTCATACTACAGCATTCATGTGGCTAGTTACAAATCTGAACGGACAGTATAGCACAATATGAATCCCATACTGTTCTAATCATTATTCTGAACTTCTCCGCTGCTGCCTCAGACTGATGTGTGCCTGTCCCCACACTGCAGTCAGACCTGCGTGTGTGTGGATTATGTATGCATGGTTTCATCTGCGGCTCAATCACATGCAAATATATTCACACGTTAGTTTCTTAATTAAAAATGCAAAGCAGTCCTTATGGTGATTTCCCTGTGATTTGACTTTTTTGAGAAACAACCAAACATTTTGAGAAAGACACTGTGAACTTGTTGAGTGAGAAATAAAGATGATTCAAAGCTTTTACGTTATTTGCATATTTTTGCCAAACGATAGAATGAACTCATCTGACATTTTTCAGGAAACTTAATTATTAAAAGTAATTTCACAAATGATGAAAGTGAAACTATGTGTTTTGTCGGTGGGGGCTGTCTGCTGTCGGGGCGGAGTGCAGCCTGGATCCGTGAGTGCGCGGGACAAAGCTGGGTCTGAGCCAGAGCTGTGAGCCAGCGCACAGACAGATGGTGCACTTATCACACACGTACGCGCGCCTAGGCCCTCGTGCACGGGCAGAAGGCACATTTGCCATGCACATGCGCGTGCTCGGTTCTCGTGCACGCTCCCAGTCTTACTTCCTGTTGACATCTGCTTTAATCAAACCCCAGCCTCACATCACCGTGGAATGTGTGTCCATCAACTCCTCTAGTGGTCACCAGCGAAGCTGCAAGAAAGTAAAATAATACTAATACTACTACTACTAAGAATAATATACTACTGCTACTACTATTATTAATAATAATAATAATAACAATAAAAGTAAAAATAATAATAATAATAATAATAATAATAATAATAATAATAATATAATAATAATAATAATAATATAATATTATTATATTATTATTATTATTATTATTATCATTATTATTATTATTATTATTTCATGATCAGAAGGACTAGTGCGACCCCTGGGTCCCCTTGGAGCCAGCCTGACGCACGGACTTGATCTTGTCGCGTCTGAACTGTGTAGGAGACTGTCCCATTGCTTAATCGCCATTCAAATGGTCCCATATGCACATGCTCGAATTCCGATATTTTGACAAGATCAAACTATAACATTATGAACACAAAGCTAAGCCCACAGCGAGCAGTGTGCGGAGTACAGCCCACGCTCGCTCCAAGCTCGAGCCGCTGACAGTTGTGTCTCTGGCTGAGCGCGCGGAGGGAGGGGCTCCGGCTCTATTTGCATAACGCATGCCTTCGCTCGGTCATACGGGAACATGCGACTGAAGGAAATGAACTGAAGCGCACAGTCCCGCCGCAGCTACGGAGTTTTGTCTCGAATCGAATAGGATCACAATAAAGGAACAGACGTAAAGAAAGGAGGAAGAGCCGAGGGAAAGGGACACTGCGTCGCGGAAAATCCCGACGGGAGAGCGGGAAAGAGCGAGGACGAGCCGGGCAGCACCCTGGCTGGGCACCGATAGGAAACATGTACTGCGCGTACACCATCCCGGGCATGACCAGCAGCTCTCTCATGTACTACTACAACGGGAAGGCGGTGAGTGCTTGTTCGTTTGCTTCGCTGTATTTCTGTTTTGTAAAGTTTTTTTTTTTTTTTTGTTATCTGCTCGTGCGTCCGTGCGCAGCTCGCGCTGAGGTGACACGGACCCAGTGCGTCTTCAAGTCCCAGTCAGATCTTCAAAAGCAGCAGGAGCCAGGGTCAAAGTTCACAGTGAAATAGCACGCGTGTAGCCCACCTTCAAAATGAGCCTCATCAACGTGGCACTTATTCAAGAGCCGAGCTTATTCATCGACATATTATTGTGTCGTGGCATTTTTCTGCCTTTCACCATTTACCTGCGAATGCGTAAATACAGTAATACACTTTTTGTTATTGATGGCTTGTCTCATATATTATATGTTTAATATTTATTGCACATGCAGCATACATTTCTCCTCCTGTACCAATATCCCACTTATTTTGAGTCAGTGAAATAAAACAGAATGTTACAGATGTTCAGTTTAGATAAGCATCTCTTTCTCCTTCGATCCTGTGAATTATGAGTTCATTATTGGGCTTTTGTAGTGAGTTCTTGTAGCGTTGTGCTGTTTATCCAAACCTGAGGCCTCGTTTCGGCAGCGTTGGCCCATGAGCGCGCGTCCTGTTTTCCACAGAGAAGCAGCCTGCAGAACCTTGCCGAACCCTGCAGAACCTGCACACTGTGTTACGTGTCCTGATGCTTGTCACATAGTGATGTCGGTGATGTCGTGCGCACGTGTGTGTGAGCAATTTCACTGTGCGGTCTCCCCGAGTGTGGAACCTTTACCTGTGTAGGCCTAGCCAATATATATCCTATAGGCCTATTTACTGTTCTATATTGGACTATATAAAGACTATATTTTTTCCGTTTGTTATTTCTCTTTCGTTCATTTTCCCTTCACTGGTTGTTTACTGCAGCTGATGAACACTCCAGCACACGTTTGCGAATCCGAATGGCCCTCCTTCATGTATTTTCAGTCAGTTCACATAAATTAGAAGTATGATTCAAATGATATTTTCCAGTTTACAGTCGTCTCATTTTATTCCCGTGAACCCTAGGCGGCTGCGGTAACAAGACGAGGCCTGTGCACGGTCCTAGTGTGACTCAGAAAAGACCGGTACGGTAAAGTCTTTTTTTATTATTAGGTGACAGGCCTTCACAAAAAATACAGAAATAAATAAAGAAATAAATAACGACATTTTATCTCGCGCTTAGCACCTAATATGCTGGACATGTGTGTTCCCCGTGCAGGCTTTAATAAAGGCTCTTCAATTCAAAAAAGGCCTACGGAGAAGTAGCCTACGCGTGAACGCTCCCACTGCGCGCGCATGTAAACCAAATCACTGTGTGTGTGTGTGTGTGTGTGTGTGTGTGTGTGTGTGTGTGTGTGTGTGTGTGTGCGCGCGTGTGTGTGTGTGTTTTCATAACGTGTTACAAATATGTACCTGTTCCTCAGACTAAAGTAGTGTGAAAAAGGATGACTAAACAGAGTGTAAACCTGGACAAGTTTCATAGTTTCATCTTTGAGCAGGACAAATGACATGATCCAAATAAACACAGATCCCAAGACCCGAGTATGAGCAGAAAGCATTTGTGTAATACCAGTGGTACATGGCCCACACATTAAGAAGCACTGCACTCTGGAACGGTCTGGATTCTCTGCTGTTAAATTATGACATGTAAATACATATTCACAGATATAAATATTCAAAACAAATGTCTGTTCCCTGTGCTCTGCTCTTCCTCTTCTCATCCTCGACACCTCCTCTGCCCCTGCTCTACTCATCCTCTACACCTCCTCTGCTCCTCTATGGTCCTCCTTTGTTCCTGCTCTGGTTCTCTGTTCCTCCTCAACAACTTCTCCTCTGCTCCTGCTTCGGTCCTTCTCTACTCCTCTTATGTTCACCTCTGCTCCTGCTCGCTGCCTTCTCTGCTCTGTGGTGTTCAATTATAATGAGACATAATGAGTGATTTTTCTGTAGCTCCCAAATGGAGAAAGGTTGTGGATGTTGTTGCTCTGAAGAGATGCAAAATTAGAAAACTGAACATATGAGATTGAACACTATGAGAAAAACATACTGAAAAAAGAGAACAATTGATCTAACGCTTAATAATTTACTTTTAGTTTATACTGAAATCTATACACGCAAATTTGACCAATTTCAAAAACATAATTTAAACATTTTTATTATTTAGTTTTTTTCTTTTGGCCTATTTACATACATTTTATTTCTTGAGCTCTGTCAGAATAACGCCAAAGCTCAAGGGCAGAATTGTGTATTCAGTTACACTTTTATGCCCATTCTTACCAAGGTAAAATATTGATTATTAATTATCTAATTCAAAACAATTGACTTTGTCTAATTGTTAAGCACTGACCACTGGTCCAGCCTGCCATTACTAGTAGCTGTCAGTGTGGAGGTCAGGTGATCTTGTGCACTGGCTGTGATTGGCTGTTAGTCCTGGTTGCCGTGGGGCCTGTCTCTGCGTGGCTTTGTTCTGGTTCTGGCACAGGATTCTCATGAGTCTTGATGCGGTGCCAATAAAACCCCATTCCCCCCACCCACCAAGCGTTGCCAACATAACACACTCGCCACCATAACACACAGACCCACCCAAACCAAGAACACGCGACATGCTGTGGCACAACCACTGGGCTGTATATGTAGTATTTCTTCTTATTCAAGTGAAAATAATCATGTATCCAAGTGGAACTTAATTCTGCCTTAAATGTATAAATTCAGTTTTTCTTGATATTATGCTTTTACTTATACATGTTTTTTTTAACTACATTTTATAGCTTTCTTAATAAAGTCAATTTGCATACATAGTAAACATACACACCAGTATATACAAATATACATGGTTTTATCATCAAACGTATTGATACAGTACAGTATTGGTAGTAGTGTCAAAACTACTAGATACTAATTTGAACAGATACAGATACTGAAAAAATAGCATAGACAGGACAACTTTCCTGATTTTATTTTATTTATTTTTTAACAGTACTTAACTAGCACTACTGTTGTGTTTGTAATGGAGCTGAGACCCGGTGTCTGTGATTGTGTCGGTGTCGGTGTTCTGGAGCTCTGAGCTGTATGACTAATGGTTTTGTGATGGTAAACCCCAATATATTTAAGGCTTAAAGGCTTGGTGTTTTCCATAAACTGCACTGGAGGGCCCTGTTGTACATTGCATACTGTACACTTCAGGTTCATGTGTAGTGCACCCCTATTGCACTTGCAAGTGTAGGGACTCATTTTTGTATGCACTAATTAATGGGGACCTGCAATGTGGGAATGAAAAGCAGGTCCCTGTGACACACCTTGGTGTCCACATGAACAACAGTCTACACTGGTGGGACAACAGTGATGCTGTGTACAAGAAGAGCATGAGTAGACTGTACTTCCTGAGAAAGCTCAGGTCTGCTCAGGTCAAGTATGCAGTAAGTTACCACCATCACTCAAGCACACATCACTTTCATACTAAGCAGGCAATTTATATAAAGTGCCTTGCCCAAAGACACAATGACCATTTTTGCCACTGGCGCCCCACTGTGGCACCTATGGCCACCCTTGCATAGTTTCTGAGGTCTGACAAGATGGCCATGTACTATAGAGCAGGGGTAACTTTTTTCACAGAGGAGATAGATAGATGGATTTTACAGAGCCACAACACCTTTAAAACATCTTGGAATAGTAATTCCAGGCCTAATTTAAGTTACAATGCAATAAAAATGCAGTGTTGTGGGTCTTGTGGGTCAACATAAATTAGTTTGAGGGCCATATTTGGCCCCTGGGCCGTAGTTTGGACAACCCTACTATAGAGAGACAGAGGAGCTCATTCTCAGATGCTTCTACAGCTCTGCTCAAACAGTGAGAGATACAGGACTACATTACTCCATGTAACTGAAGAACAACTCACCCTTATGTAATTGATATGCCAATTACTATGTCAATTACTTTGTACAATTACTAATTATTTAATCTTTGCTATGTAAATGAGGTCGTATGGAGGAACCAGTGCAGAGATATATTTACTATATTTCTATATCTTTCTTTTTCTTGTATATAAACAATACTTGATGCCCTATTTGACACAAGTCTCGCTATTCTAAGTCTTGCTATTTTTGCTACTTATTTTGAATTTATCATTACCATTCATATTTTTCTGTGAGCTACTGTGTTGAAATAATTTCCCATCTGGATCAATAAAGTTTATCTAAGTCTAAGGGCCATATCTTGCCTCTGGTTTTAGCTCGAGCTCAGGTGTGGGGCATGGAGCTCTAAACAGTCGGTGTCCTGTGCCTGAATATCAGGTGGAGTGGAGTAGACTGAGAGCATAGTGTGGAGCGTTCAGTGAATTACCAGAATCATAAAAATAAATATCAAACTAGCTGAAAAACATTATGTGTATCATATCTAAGATATATAACACCTTCTTTTATTTTTTTAAGTACTGTATATAACAAAATGAATAACTTTCACATGTTCATGTGCCCCGTGACCCGGCCCGGGTAAGTGGAAGAAAATAGATGGATGGATGTTTATGTGCTGACCCGGATGTCCACGTGCCGTTCGGATGTCCTCCTGCAGCAGAACTCAGACTCGTGCCCACTCCCTCTGTCGGCTCAGCGCTGCTCTACAGTTTGGTTTGATCACAATCTGTACAAAAGCTGCTCATTCACATGAGGTCGTTTACTGCACTATCCTAAAGTGTCTTTTCTTACCCTGTCAGCATGGTACTGCTCATCATGTGGCAAATCTTTCTACAAGTGCAGGCCGTGCATTCACCCTCCCTGTATGTTCATGGGTTAAGACATGTCTGTCCACAAAGTTGTAAAATTAAAAACATTTATATGATAATAAATGGAGGCCTATTCCATAATTCGCAGAAAGCAAGACATCCATCTGTTTGGGATCAAAAGCAGAGGACACCTGTGAAACGAATGCGACTGGTCAGCAGTAGCAGCAGTGGGAACTTGTACCTCAAGTGTATATACATATATATATAT